CTTTTAAACTATAGTCCCGCTCTCCAACGGGTCCGAGGGACAGTGAACTGGCCCCTGTTTAAAAAGTCTGAGGACCCCTGGTTGGACTACCGACCCCAAAGTGGGGTCCAAACCCACCAGCCCCCACCTGGTAGGAGTACACAGTCTCCTGGGGCTCCACTCACTCACACCGTCTTTGTTGGGGTGAGTTGGGGTGGAAACCCTTTCTCACCTGTTCATGAGGACGGCCTTGCTTGTCAGGCCCCATGCTGTGTCCTTGCACAATGGTAATGACAGCTCTGGGGACAGGAGTCAGGCCAAGCTCTGTGCCTGGGGGGGGTCTTCTTTTTTTTTTAAATCTCAGTTGCTTCGTCTGCAAAATGGGGTTCATGTGAGTGTAGCTGTAGCTCAGAGAGACTGTGGGCGCAGTGTCTGGCCTCTGCAATAAATCATCTTTCAAAATAACGCCAGTTGCATGCATCTTTTTGTTTCCTCAACAAAGCAAGCTCACTGACTCTGAACTGCCCTTGTGAATTTCTGAGACTGTAAACTCCTTACAGGAGTAGAAAGCCTCCTCTTTCTCTCACCCAGTGGCTAGCGGTTTCAAACTGCTGGCCTTGTGGTTAGCAACCCAAAGTGTAGCCACTTTGCCACCAGGGCTCCTCTTTGGTTTCTTAGTGCATGTAAAGGAACTCTGTTGGCTTAGTGTTTACACGTTGGGCTGCCAACTGCAAGGTCAGCAGTTCAAAACCACTAGCTACTGGGTGAGAGAGCGAGGAGGCTTTCCACTCCTGTAAAGGGATAGTCTCAGAATTCCACAGGTGCAGTTAGACCTTGTCCTGTAGGATCACTATGAGGCAGAATTGACTCGATGGCAGTGAGAGTGGATATAAAAATTGTGCAATTAATGACAAAAGCAACCCCTTGGCCATTGAGTTGATTGCGACAGAGTAGAACTGCTCCTTTGAGTTTCTGAGGCTGCTGATCTTTATGGGAGCAGACAACCTCATCTTTCTCCTGAGGAGTGGCCGGTGGGTTTGAACCACCTCCCTCATGAAGCCTTGATAATTTATAAATTATTATTTTGACATATCTTGCCCTGTCCGACGTCTCCCTTCACCCACTTTTCTGTTGTCCTTCCCCCAGGGAGGAGGTCACATGTAGATCCTTGTAATCAA